GCTGCTCTTTCCTTGTAGATTCTCTGTCTGGAAGATCTGTCCATTAATGTCAATGGGGAGTTAAAGTCCCCTACTATGACTGTATTCTGTTGTTCTCTGCCTTTATGTCAGTCAATATTTGCTTTATATATGTCGGTATTCCTATGTTGGGTATATAGATGTTTACTAGGGTTATAGCCTTTCAGTGGATTGATCCCTTTATCATTATGTAATGTTCCTCTTTGTCTCTTATTATAGTCATTGTTTTAAAGACTGCTTTGTCTGATATAAATATTGCTACTCCAGCTTGTTTTTATTTCCATTTATGTGAAATATCTTTTTCCATCCCTTTACTTTCAGCCTGTCTGTGTCTTTCTATCTGAAGTGGGTCTCGTATAGACAGCATATATATGGGTCTTGTTTTTTTATCCATTCAGCTACCCTATGTCTTTTAATTGGAGTGTTTAGTCTACTTACATTTAAAGTGATTATTAATACACACATAATTATTGCCATTTATTATTCTTTTTTTAATATTTTTTATCTTCATTGGTTTGTTTGTTGTCTCTTTTCTTCGGCTTAAAGATGTCCTTTAATATTTCTTGTAATACTGCCTTGCTGGTGATGAATTCCTATTGCTTTTTCTTGTCTGGGAAGCTCTTTATCTCTCCTCCAATTTTAAATGATAACCTTGCTGGGTAGAATAGTCTATGATGCAGACCCTTGCTTTTCATCACTTAGAATATTTTGTGCCAATCACTTCAGGCCTACAGTGTTTCTGTTGAGAAGTCGACTGACAATCTTATGGGAGCTCCCTTGTAACTAACTAGTTGCCTTTCTCTTGCTGTTGTTAGGATTCTCTCTTTGTCTTTAATCTTTGCCATTTTAATTAAGATGTGTTTTGGTGTAGTCCTCTTTGGATTCATCTTGTTTGGGACTCTCTGCACTTCTTGGACTTATATATTTATTTCCTTCACTAGGTTGGGAAAGTTTTCCATTATTATTTCTTCAAATATGTTCTCAATCTCTTCCTTTCTCTATAATGAGAATGTTGTTACACCTGATGTTGCCCCAGAGGTCCCTTAAACTATCCTCATTTTTTGTACCCCTTTTTGTTTTTGCTGTTTTAATTGGGTGTTTTGTACTGCATTGTCTTCCAAATCGCTGATTTTATCCTCTGCTTCATGTAATCTGCTCATGATTCCTTCTAGTGTATTCTTCATTTTAATTCTTGTATTCTTCATTTCTGACTGGTTCTTTTTTATGGTTTCTGTGTCCTTTTTTAATGCTTGCTATCTCTTTGTTGAAGTTCGCACTAAGTTCCTTGAACATCCTTATATCCATAGTTTTAAACTTTGTATTTGGTAGGTCATCTCTATTTCTTTTAGTTCTTTTTCTGAAGCTTTCCCCTGCTCTTTCGTTTGGGACATATTTCTTTGTTTCCTCATTTTGGCTGCCTGTCTGCATTTATTTCTATGTATTAGGTAGGTCTGCTACATCTCCCAGTCTTCGCCAGGTGGTCTTATGTTGTAGGTGCTGTGTGGGACCCAGTGGTGGAGTTTTTTTGTTGTAGTTGAACCTTGGTTGCTCTTGGAACCTCAGTGAGTAGAACTGACCCTCAAGCTGACTGGCTGTAGGGTTTGGTCATGTCCACAGCTTATGGGCTGTTGTATGTGGGGCTGACCCCATAGAATGGGATTCATCCCAGTGTACTCTGGTGCCTGCTGTGACCACTCTTTGAGTGTGCCACTTGTGGGGCTAATTAGATGTTGTTCTGTTGTGGTCTGCAGCCAGAATCTGAGTATTGTTGTTTTGGGGCCTCTCACGGCCCAAGTTAGCCACTGCTTGTGACCAGGCTGGGGCTACCTACCTGGTAGGAGCTACAAAGCAATCTGTGATTGGTCACTGCCTGTGCTGTACCTGGAGGTGCTTGGGAGAGGCCACTCTGCCATACAAGAGCAGCTGCCACCAGTACCAGACCTGGGGTAGCTCTGCAAAAAGCCCAGGGCATGCTGAGCCCTTCTGCCACCTGCCAACTGCCTGTAAGTGTCAGCCACTGAATGAGCTTTATAAAGTATGAGAGCTGGGTTATGCTGGTTCTCAAGAAGTCACCAGGGTTGGATGAGTAATATTCACCAGGTTAATGTAGATTCTGGTTTGGCACCAGTGCCGAGCCTCGAGCTACTCAGAGAAAGGCTGAGAGCACACTGAGGCCTGCCATTGCCTTTCTGGGCTTGCCAGTTCCCGAGAGTTGTCCAAGAAAGACTATCACAGGCTGTGCTGGCTACTGATCATGAAAATGCATGTGATAGCATGTTAGTTGAGGCCAACTATTAGCTGCTGAAAGAGCCTTCTGCCATGCATGGGGCAGGGCTGGGTGCTGGTCTTAGAAAGTGCCTCTGGCGGTACACAAGTTGGGTGAGGAGGGGTCCCAGGAAGTCACCAGGGTGGAGCGAGTGGAGTTCAACAGATCAGTGCAGATTCAGATTTGGCCATGTAGGGGAAGGACTCAGCACAGGAAGGATGACAACTGCCTGCCAACTGCACTGGAGAAGAACCCCACACAGGGAAATTGGCAACTGTCCCTCTGGTCCTTGCCCTGAAATCATACAATTTAGTCTCTCCCTGTATGTCTCTGATGCCTCCTGATTCACCGTCCCTTTGCCAGAGCACAGGGTGAGCGCCTACGTGCTAGTGAGTCTGTAGACTGGCCCTTTAAGAGGATGCCTGGGTTTCCAGCAGCTTTCTACCTCACCTAGATGGTTGCAATCCCCACTGTTTTTCACAGCTAGATATTGTGGGGGCTCTTCTTCCTGGCACTGGTACTCCAGGCTGGGAAGCCTGGTGTGGATCTGGGATCTCTTGCTCCTCCTGGGCGGGACCTCCACAGCTGAGACATCTTTCCTGATTCTCAACAGCCACATACTGATGTGGGGTGGGCTTCAGACCACAGCAGAACAACACCCAACTAACCCCACAAATGGCACACCCAAAGAGTGGTCACAGCAGGCACCAGAACACAGTGGGAGGAATCCCACTCTGTGGGGTCAGCCCCACATACAGCAATCCATAAGCTGTGAACATGACCAAACCCATGTCTCAGCTCCTCCTACCAATGTGGATGTGGCTTCTTTATGTCCTTATTTGTAGGATTTCTGTTCAGTTAGTCTTCAGATGTTTCTCAAAGTTGATTGTTCTATAATTTAGTTGTAATTTTAATGTGGTCACAGGAAGAGGCAAGCGCAGCATTCATCTACTCTGCCACATTGCCCCTCCCCCGCTTCAGTGAACTCTGAAATCTTTCTTGATTTTTTTCTAATAGCACATATAATTTAGGTCCAGGACCAGCCACATAATTTGTGTGGCCTAGTCCAAGATGAAAATGCAGGACATTTTATTCAAACGTTAATTAAGAATTTCAACACAGCAAAAATGGAACATTGACCTAAGTACGGGGCTTTTCTGAGCACTTGTGTGTGTGGACTGCACAAGTTGTGTATCCATAAAACTGATCCTGCATGGGCCTTTGGAGCAGGCGGCAGCTGACAATTAACTTTATAAATATATTTATGTTTCAAATCAGGTTTCTAGTAAAATTTCATAAATACAGTTTTTGCAATAAAATAATATATAAGTATATTATAATAATGTTGAATGGCAATATTTATTTGAAACACTATAAGTATGTTTTTGACACTGAGTATTGTGAATAGAAATATATAGTTAATGAGAAAACACTTTTAGTTTCATGTTTATTGTTGACTGTGGTATAATGCTTTGGTTTACCGTGAGGGCTCAGGAGCCAGATTCCTTGGGTTCTGAAAGTTGGCTCTATCTACTCTACTAAGTGTGTGTTATTGGGCATATTTCCTTACTTTACTGTCCATCAGTTACACACACATTGGAGTAATGACAGGAAACTGATCTCATAGGCTTGTCATGCAAATTATTATATTTCAAGTCCTTTGAAATAGTCTACTCTGTTATTTTCAATCTTTTTTATTTGTTAGTTTTGCCTTAGCAGGTATAATATCCCAGATTTAGTTTACTGTCTCTTTCATGGTTGTGAATTAATGTCCAGCATAATATTAAAAAAATATTTTATGATATTGTTTGTGTAGAATTAAAAATTTGGGCGTTACTAGATAAGGCATTCAGTTTATAATGATACAAATTAAGGATGTATTTTTTCTTATAAGAACATTAAAAGGGCTTTACTTTTTAAATCTTTCTTTTGATCTTTTCCCCCATCACCATTTGCCTTATTTAAAATCAAAGATCTAAATCACCTAGTTAATAGAGTGATCTTGTTAACCCTAGTTAATAAGTTACATAACTTGAGAATCTAATTCAATCCAATTAAGATGAATGCTTAGTCTCAGCATTTCAGTCATTCTTAAATACATTTAAAGTCAAGCTTGTACAGAAGTAATCCATTGTGATTAATGTGTGTTATTTGCTTTTATTTTTATGTCACTGAATAATAAAGCTTTTTATATTACTACAGATTATATTTATTTGTAATGACTAACAATCTGTGTTTGTGCTTTGTTGAGAAGATATACTAATTTACAATCTACCAACAAAATTTCTACCATGAAATAATATCTGAAATATTTAGTTTGAGAATCAAATTCAGGACTATAACAAATGCTAACTATACTAACCATACTTTCTTTTCAGTACTGGTAGAACATTTATTGTAAAGTAGTTCAGTTAAGATCAAATCTAAGAAACTATTAATTCTGAGAAATATCCTTAAAATGGAATGCTCTCATCAAGTGTAGTTTTCAAGTAAGAAGTCCTGTTACTTATAGGCATTTTGCATTGAGGGTTGTGAGAACCTATGAAATAATTGAACAGTATAGCTATTTTTGTTGTTTGAAAGTTGAAAAGAAAGTAAAAAGCAATACTCTTTTAAATATCACACAGCTTTCTAACCATGCCATGAACTTGACCTCTTCTCTGTCTTGTGGCTCTCATTATATAATATCTATATTCCATCTCTTTTCTTGTATCAGACAGTATTACCGAAGTCTTCACTAACATCTATGTGACCAGTTTTGGCCCTGTCTCAGATACAGATATGGTGAGTTTCTCATTAAATAGTATTTTTACTTCATATCATGAGAATTTGGGAGGGATAATTTAGACAAAATAAGTATTTTTAGTGTTGTAGAATTATGTAACTGTCTCTTGCCTATTTAGTCTACCCAAATGCATGGAGAGTTAAGGATGTACATCTGTTTGTATCTGTGGTGCACCATTCCAGCTTGGGTGTTCAGATTAGCTCTTTGTAGTTTATATTCTTTCCCAAACTTGTCTAGCTAGCTATGGTGTGGTCAGTAAATAACTGTTTACATAAAAATAATTATATTACTGAGAACCATTTTCTAGAATAAAGGTACCTGTTTGGACTCCCATAAGTAAACTCTACAGTTTCATGGACAACTGATTCTTACAGAATGTGGTCTTGGTCAGTGTTATAAATGGAACCCTTTTTTTTGGTACTGAATAAGGTGGGTGCCTTGTCATACTATCTACATACATACAAATTACATATATAGTAGGCACATATAAATCAATCTCAAGAAACCTAGAATCTTGACATACTTGGATTCTGTGGAATTGGTGCTCATTTCATTTTCTTGAAAATAAGATGGGTACGAGAGAAGAATTGGTTTGCTGTGTTTAGAAACTGGTGGGCTAGCAAATTAAAGGTAAATTCTTGACTAAGCATAAACGTTTTAGTCATCAGTCTTCTATTTCTCCAGCCAACTGTAGTGCTCGGGTGTAGAAATTTTTGTTGAAATAATTTTTCATTCATTATTACCTTGTCACATTTGGCCCCCTCCTCCAGCCGATGCCTGCCTTTGCATTCTCCTGATATGCCTATCTCTTGTCTCATGCTGCCTCTCTGGCAAGTTTGTGGCTCACAGTCTCATCTGCCTCTCAGGCATCCTCCACTCCAAGGCCAAATGGCTCTTTAGAGATCCACCTTCCTTTCGGCGCATGGAGTTTGAATCGGAGCAGATGCCCTTGTCCCCTCTTGGCCTGGTCATCCTTCATCATGTCATCTCTCCCCAGTGTCTTCTCTTTCTCTGATAACCAAAGGGGAAGAATGACAAGGTTAGAGATTTTCCACCTGATAAACAAAACCAAAAGGTCTTCCCTTTTCACAAGCATTCATAAACATCATTGGCTGATGTATTGGGACCTCCTTACCTTTCCTTTAGGGAGCAGATACACAACTTTTATCACTTTAAGAAATCTGCTTTTTTTTCCCACCATAGCCACTCCTCTGACATCACATTCTTTTCTTATATGGACTTGGATGGCTGAAAGGTGAGGTGTCAGTGGGGGCGGTGACCCACAACTAAGAGGAGGTGGTTGATCCCAAACACAGGCAGGCCTTTGAAGTTCTTTCAAATTAGAATGTAAAGATTTAAGTGCTTTTTTTTTCTTTTTTTTTTCTCAACTCCACACCTTAGCTGCAATTCTGGAACAAAAGGAAAAATTGCACTCTAACTTCACCCTTTTTTCTTCCTTGCAGTATCTTATATTGTGGCCTGAAATATTAATATGCCTCTTTCTAAGTAATTTAAGTATACGAGAACTTGGAAAGATGGTAGAGACATGTTTACCAAGAGTGTGTATTCCAAACGTTACTGGTTGGATGAAAAGATAATATTGCTGGGCATCTTGTCTTAGAAAATGCTCCCAAATATTAGAAAGACACAGTGAAAATGAGCACCTAACTTCTATCTGGAATGAAGTGGAGAGAGTCAGAATTTTGTCAAGCTATTCATTTCTCAATAGCATAATGCTATATAAATGATGGCTCTTTCATGGTTACCTTTAGTGTCTTATTCCTGGCCAAAACAGAGAGGCATATGATAGAGAGCCCCCAAATATAAAAGTTTTCAATGTTGTAGATTTTGTGTTGTAAATATTAATGGTAATAGCTGCCTCACTGAAGATTTTTTTCTTTACTTTTTTTTCCAAAGTGAATTATTTTACCTCAAAATATAAAAAAACAAAAATATACATTTTTTTCCTAGACATACTACATATTTGTTATTTGGGGCATTTAGACAAACTCAGGTCATCTATTTCTAGCAAAATGTATGAAATTACTTTTTTTTCAGTGGTGCTATGGATCTCACTAATTCTCCACCTTTTTGTTCTGACCATTCTTGTGGATAACTAACACATATTTTAAAACCTGGTACCTTCAACTTAAAATGGGTTAAAGACTTGAGTGCAACACCTGAAACCATAAAACTTCTAGAAGAAAAAGGGGATAGGCGCCTTGACATCAGTCTTGGCAATGACTTTTTGGATTTGACACCAAAACAAAGTCAACAAAAACAAAAATAACAAGTGGGACTATATCAACCTGAAAAATTTCTGCACAGCAAAGGAAACTATTAACAAAATGAAAAGGCAACCAATGGAATGGGAGAAAATATTTGCAAGTCATCTCTGAGAAGAGTTAATATCTGAAATATGTAATAACATATAATTTAATAGAAAAAATACAAACAATTCAATTAAAAAGTTCATGAGAAACTGAAAATACATTTTTCCAAAGAAGATATACGTGTACGTTGAAAAAGTGCTCAACATCACTAATCATTAGGGAAATGCAAATCAAAACGACAATAAGATATGACCTCACACTTGTTAGAATGGCTGTCATCAAAATGACTAAAGATAAGTGTTGGTGAGGATGTAGAGAAAAGGGAATCTTTGTACACTGTTAGTTGGGATGCTAATTAGTACAGCCACTGTGGAAAACAGTTTGGAGGTTCCTCAAAAATTTAAAAACATGGTCCATATGATCCAGGAATCCCACTTCTGGGTGTATATACGAAGGAAACAAAGTCAGTATCTCAAGGAGATGTCTGTATTCCCATGTTCATTGCAGCATTATTCACAATAGCCAAGATATAGAAGCATGGTATATATACACAGTTGAATATTATTCAGCCATGACAAAGAACTAAATTCTTCCATTTACCACAAGATGAATTGACCTTGAGGTCATTATGCTAAGTGAATTAAGCTGGAGAGAAAAAGACAAATACCACATGTGTCACTTATATATAGAATTAAAAAAAAAGTCAAGTTCATACAAACAGAGAGTAGAAAAGTGGTTGCCAGGGACTGGGGGAGTGGTGGGAGAAATAGGGAAAGAGAGAGGGGTAAAAGTGTACAAACTTTCAGCTACAAGATAAATGAGGTCTTAGGGTGACTAAGGACACATGGTGACTATAGTTGATAGCACTGTGTTGTATAATTAAAATTTGCTGAAAGAGTAGAACTTAAATGTTCTCACACACACAAGAGGTAAATATGTAAGGTTATGCATTGTTAATTAACTAGATGGGGCAACTCCTTCACAATGTATACATATATTAAATCACCACAATGCACACTTTAAACATATTAAATTTTATTTGTCAATTATACCTCAATTAAGTTGAAATTAAAAAAAATACAAAAAGAAGGAAAAGAAACTGTGAACCTTTAGCTAGTGTTTCCATATAGTAATTCCTTTTAGGCATTTGTTGGGAAATTTATACATTTTTACAAATGCTGAATTCTGAGAAAAGTCAGGTAAGAAAAAAATGGGAAAAGCATTATAATTCTGCAAGAATTAAATCTTAGCAGTCAGCATAAGGAATCCACTGATGCCAAGCTGAAATCAAGATCTGGGAATGCAGATGTGCAAGGTTAAGACTTGAAGGTTAAGGACAACATTCCCAGAATGGGAGCAGGACTGTGTCCAAGATCAGGCAATTGTGCTTCTAGCTGGTGTATGTCTGTGGTCCCATCTGCTGCTGTCATTCTCAAAAATCAAAATAAATACTCATCAGTTTACATGCAAATAAGTAAATAAAAATAAAAAGCAAAAAAAAAAAGTTGGGTATGCAGTCATCAGCAACAGAACAAATTTGAATTCCTTCGTCTCTGAATTAAAGTCAAAACATCAGTCCTTTCAGTAAATTTTGCCCAATAACTTTGAAAAAAATTAACAGGCTCAAGATATGCTTTCTTATATTGGGGGACCCTACCACATACTACATTAAACATTAAAATTCACTTACATTCCAAACTATATATAAGTTGAATTGATCTCGTTGGAATTATAGTTAGCAACATTTAAATTTTTAAAAATCACTTACTTTGAGTTTTAATTTTTTTTCCATTTTAGAGTACACACACACACACACACACACACACACACACACACACACACACAATTATTATGGAGATATTCCCCCAAATGAAATATACATTTAACATCTCTGTAGGCTCTTAATTGGCTTGAAGCCTCTTAACATTTTTCTAGTGATCCATTTCCCTAGATCACCTACCGAATAGAGTCCTGTAGAATTCTTTTTGGCCATGTCATATTTTCTACTTTATTTCCATCTGTATGCACCTTGTTTACCCAGTCTTAAAAGTACTTGGCTTAGAAGAAGTCTGATTAATTGCAGGAACATCAAGTGAGCACCTACTTACTCCTACTAATCAGAGGAGAGGATCCTTAACAGTAATTTGAACAGGGAAACTCTAGTATAATAAATTATTAATTCATACAAGGTAGTTAAATAATAAAACAGGATAAAAGAAGACTCAAAGAAATTCAGATGTAGCAAATGCAGAAGGCAACATAGACTTCTAGGGATGAAGCATCATGAACAAGGAAGGAAGGAAGAACTTGGAAAAGCTTTTTCCCCTGCAAGGCCAAGATTCAGATATCACTGGAGAGGATATTGCTGCTCCAGGAGCATGCAGCTGGTGCTCATGAGGAAACTTGTGAAGGTACATAAGAATACCCTGCCTGGTGGCTGAAAATTCCCGCCATGCCAGTCCTTTGAAGCTGTGCCAAAGAATGACAATGCATCTATCTGAACCAGAAGATGAGCAGAAAGAACGTCTGTTTCTCTTGTTATGTCATCGAATATCCCTCCAGCACCCTCTATTGACAAAGCCTAGCATTGTGTGCATTGTCAAAGGAGCAATGTTTAGAGTCCTTCTCCTGTGTCACAAAGAGGGGGAAAGGAGGGTGCGTTTGGA